ATAATGTGCAGTGAACAGAAACATAAAATAGCAACAAAATAAAATATTAAATTCTTAATATATATTACATGGTTAGGAGAAACATTAACATTTTCACATCAGCTGTATACTTGCTTATAAAACCTAAAATACATCAGAAACCCCTATTTAAACTACAGTGCAAATGCCAATGGAACTGTACAGCAAAAGTAATCTTTGTTTCAGTTGTCACACTCAAGGCAGTCTTCACAACAGACAACTGTGCATCCCACACACATGTCCCACTTACACTGATAGCACACATGTGCTTAGCTTTCCTGTCTTTATTGTAGGACATCCTTGACATCTCACTGGTCTTGCTTGTAAGGAGCATTTACTATATTGTACAGCGCACACTTAGCAGGAAAATAGAGTATCAATAAGATAAAATATCAAAACTTAATGAGCACTTAGAATAGACATCACTTTTACATCATCAGTATTGCTTATAAAACCTAAAAGAAAACATCAGAAATAAATACCTACATGAACTACAATGTAATTACAAACCAGAGCCTACCAAAGAATAATCTTTGTTTCAATTGCTACAACCAAAGCAGTGTTCACACATGAAAACTGCATGTTCCATGTACAAGTATCACTTGCACGGATAGTAGTATGTTTTGTTTTCTGTCCTTTTTTGTAGGGCACACCTGACATCGTTTTGGTTTCCTGCTGTCATAGTAGGTCTTTGTGATGTTGCACCTGCCTCTTCACCTGTGAGCTCAACAATGTGCTGCACAATATTTTTTGCATAGTTCCCTGGGCAGAAACATTTTGCTCTTCCTCTTTGTAAACGATCACTTACGAGTTCTGGTCCCAATCCTTTAAGAAAAAGTCTCCATGATATTTTACTCTTGTCATTTTCTTTGTAACCTATCAAACTATTCATGCTATACATGTTTAGGATTGAGTAAAACACAACCATTGGTCAATGTTTTGTGTTTTGAGCAACATCGTAGTTGCCTACAGTAATCATATCTACTTCACCTTTGGTTTTGTTGTAAAAAGTTCATCTCAGTCTTCAGTTTTGTTGAGGGTTCTCTGTCAATTTTTCCATCATAGTGCAATGTTGATATCAACAGTACCAGTTTGTTTTTCTTTGCCATATACAAGGCCAATGTTACATTTTTCTTAAATTCAAAGATTGTTCTGTATAATTATCTGTTTTGAAATTGCAACATTTCGTTGGGAATTTCCACTTTGTTCTTGCATACGGTTTCTCTGATAGTCAATTTGTACTCTGTTAACAAATGTAGCATCAATCAGATGTCAAATGTCTTATTCTGATTAGTTTGGGAGATGGGAGAACAAGTCTGTTCACAGCATCATTTGGTTGATTACTATACAAATAAAGACCTGGTGGCTGAGTTCCAGGCTAAATTTCTCTTTTCTTTTTTTTTGTCTTTTTGAGACAGGGTCTCTATATGCAGTTCAGGCTGGCCTTGAGCTCACTCTGTAGCCCAGGCTAGTCTCAAACTCGTAACGATCCTCCTGCCTCAGCTGATATGGCCAGAAAAATGACACGCTCCAAAAACTTTTCAAAAGCACTTTATTAGCTGAGCTCAGTGGTGACGCTATCCCGTCAGCAGTCAGGAAAGTGTGCACCTGAGCCAGGGACTGCAGGGAGTTATAAAGTAGCAAGCCACAAGGGCAGGGGTCGGGGTCTTAGGATCAGTTTGTCCCCATAAAAGGAACCAGGGAGGTGGAATTAGCAGTTACAGGAACCAGGAAGGCAGGGAGGGGTGGCATGGTGGGTGTGTTACAGGGCGGCAACTTAAACTGGCAGTTACACAAGTTTTACAGGAAACAAACAAGTTACAATAAGAACAGCACATTTTGGATTTTTGAGCTTAAACATCAGCCTCCTGAGTGCTGGGATTACAGGTGTGAGCCACCATGTCCGGCTATCAGGATAAATTTCTAAATTGGAAGTATATGTCTTCACATCTAGCAACTGTATATATGTATTTTTTATCACATTTTGAAGCCTTTTTTTTTTTTTTTTGTATATACTGTCTAAAGCTGTAGCAACCAGGTTTGTTATGCACCATTGTACTGAATTGGGCCACTTCTATAAGAAAATTGAAAGAGAACTTTTAAAAAAAAATGCTAAATACAAGAAATTCAGCAACGAGAATTTCATGGCTAAAACTCACTGGTTGCCACTTTGGAGCTTCTGTCCACATCTTGTTCATCTCCCCAATGGACGAATGCACAGACAGCTTCCTGTCTTCCCCATGCACAGCTACGGTGAGCCACACCCGGATCCCATTATGTCAAATTAGATGTTTGTGGACAGAATAGTATGGGTTGGTGATGCTCAGGGATACATATGAAAAAACAAAAAAGAAAAAAAAGCTACATGGACCATTATGAGTGTAAGAGTCTTGATTTGACACTTTCGCACAGGTGTACACACCGTGCCGTTCATCATACCAAGTGCTTGAATGCAAAGATTGCTTTCTGTATCCCTCATGTGTGGCTACCGACTTGCACAGCTGGTCACCATTAAGCTAAAGTACACAATTTCATTAGAAAACTATGGAACGGTTATGGTAACCCACAATAATGCCCCAAGGGTAAGGGACTTTCAGTCAATAGGCTGATGCACTTCTGCGGTAGCAGAATGGCCTGAGAGCTCCTGGGAGGCATCTTTCTATCCCCCGAATTTGCTTAAATACCATCAGGGGAATGGCTAGGATGTGGAGCCAGCAAGATGCACCATCAAGAAGTAACTGATAGTCTTGGCAACAAGTGACACCCAGTAACTCTTAATGTTATTTTTACCCAAGTAGTGTACTTATTAGGCTTACATCCCAAGGTTAGATTCAAACGATGAAGTTGGTTGGCCCATGCAGTACCCAAGGACTCTAATATGCATGAGTTGCTTGTCCTGTCAGAAGAGCCTTTGGTTAGGTTGAGCATACTGTCCTACATAGGGTTTTCCTGGGTTTCTCTGAACATATAGTAGAAAGGCTTCTGAGCATCGTTCAGCTGCGTCTGTGCTGCCCTGGTCTGTGAACTCATGCTCCCCCGTCTGTCTGCAGTTTCCCCTCTGACCTCAGTCTTCTAATTACCTCACCTTGCTGCTTAGGAACGGGTGGACAGTGCTAGGGCACGGCACACAGAACCACACCACACATGTGCAAAACACAGCATGAGAGTTTGCTAAGTAAAAATAAGAAATGCTTCTTTCAAAGAGCTTGCCTTTTAGCTTGTAGAGATAAAATCGGCAAATACAAAGCAACCTGTGGTGCTTGCGTGGGTATTGCATATCTAAGTGTCTCATCACATACACATAAGTGGAATTGAACTCATTACTTTATGAACTGAAAGCTCTTTTTGCCAGTGGCCAGAGTAGGGGAAGCTTTGAAAGGTGACTGTGGCTGAGTTTGAAGAACTGAGCAGATAGAGAGAGGCGGGGAGCACACATAGTCAGGGGGCGCAGCGTGAACTAAGGTGTAGCAGTGGCAAGCACAGAGTGGGAGGCGCCCATGTTTTTGAGGGGTTCGTAATCAACATAAGGAATCCAAGCAGTCAGATGGACAAGTTTTGGGATTTTATTAGCTGAGCTCAGTGACCACCCACAAAGAATCCTGTTTCAGAGTCAGATCAAGTGGCCCCAAACTGGAGGTTTACAGCTTTTAAAGCGGAAAACTGAAAAGCAAGACATCCTATTGGAGACTAGCTAGCCTTACATTAATTTTGGTTGACACTTGAATCCTGCTTCTTTGTTGAGCAGGTTAATTTTTCTCTCAGGGTGTAGCCTGTTCTGCTTTTCTCATGGGACTTGTATCCTGAGTAATTTTTCACTCTTGTAGGTCAAATACAGGGCACAAGATGGCATCAGTTATGCCAAGCTGCAGTAATTTGCTAGGGTAAGGGAGAAGGGAGGGATCAAGCTGGAACGTGGCTGGGATCAGCCTCATCCTCCAACTTAAATTTGGACTTTATTTCGTAAGTGATGGAGAGCATGTGTGGATGGCAGTGACATACAGAGATTGTTCAAGAGGGGTGTGGAAGGATGGGGGAAGGGACCAGTTGTCATCTGAGAAGGGGAAGGGCTGACCCTGAGCTCGCCGCTTGTGGTCCTTGGTGCTTTACGTGTATATGCTGTTTTGGTCTCCCAGTAGTGCTAAGGGGTAGGTACTTTCAATGTCGTTTTCACTTCATAGATAGGAAAGCTGAGGCTCTCAGTGGTTAAGTAATAACCAGTGAAGCAGAGTGGTGCCAAGATGTGACAGGTAGGGCAAACCTCATTTGTGTTTGTATATGGCACACCAGGAGCTGCTCAGGCGGTCCTCTGGGACAGTTTTCGTTAGTTGGGAGTGATAGTCTAAGTGATAGTTCCTGCCAGAACTAAATCATCAGTGGAGATACTCAGTGGTGAGTGCAGCGTGAAACATCTCTGTAGGGGGGACTTTGTAGAGGGCCCAAGATGAGCCTGAGACCTCATGGCTTCTCTTTGTGTTTTGAGAACTTGCCAAGACCATGGAAATTCCATGGCAAACCTGGCCTCCAAACTCTGAGACAGTCTACACTTTTTGTTTTTCCTAAGAGTGTGTGTTAATTTAATCAAGTGAGCACTGAGGTTGAGGGTGTTTGGTTTGTGTTACCTTTGAGATGGCTTATGCAACTTCTGAAGCATCACAGATTGTAATTGCTGTGGTTCAAGACAGTGAGGCTCCCTGGAGACAGATCATTTGGTCGTCATTTCTTTCTTTTTCCATGAATGCCCTTTCTCATAAGCTTACCTGGATTAGTTCCCTGTTTTGCAATCTGTAGGTTTATACATCACAGAATTTGATTTTCTTTAAATCTGTTCTTTTTTTAAAGAAAAAAATTGTGCATGCATTTTATCTCTTTTAATTTTTGTTGCACAGTTAAATGAGCACCTAAAAAGAGTATGCTGATCGCTGCTGTGCTCACACGAGGTAGGCCGGGCCAGCCCAGTGATCTCTCTGTCCCGTCTGCTGCAGGTGATAAGAAGTACATCATGGGGCCCAAACTTTCCACTCTCGACGCCACCGTCTTTGGACACTTGGCACAGGCGATGTGGACCTTACCAGGGACAAGACCTGAACGACTGATCAAAGGCAAGCCCTAGGAACTTGTGCAGGTTTTAGAAGGTGCTGGGTGGGTGGGCATCAGAGTTCTAGGCTGCTGCTTGGAGCTTGGCTGTGTCTAAAGGCTGTGGTGCCTGGGTCCAGGGTCAGTTCTCTGCCAGCTCTTTAGTTAATGGGACCTGATAATTGTTGTGAAATAGGGCTTGAATGCCACCTCGTGCCCTTTATTTGTTGGTTGTCCTTTGAGCAATGTTGGCTCACCAATTTCTGGTAAATCCAGTGCTGTGGTCACCAGGGTGAGATTGGACGAAGAACGCACGGCCCATTTTAGTTGTTCCTTTTGAGTCTGAACTGGTCTTAAATATTTTGCATGTGGGTTACATTCGAGTGTATCGCTTGAATGTAACTCTCTCTGCTGTTCCATTGAGGGTAACTTTGGATCATACGCTAAGGATAGTAGAACTGAAAAGTCAAGATTAGGGGGGAAACGGTCAACAAATGCTTAGTGTGATGCCAAAGAATTATTACTAATACCGTGTACTGCTAGCATATACCAAGAAACACAATTTTGGTTGTGTGTGTGTGTGTGATATATATATATATATATATATATATATATATATATATATATAGAGAGAGAGAGAGAGAGAGAGAGAGAGAGAGAGAGCGAGAGAGAATATCTTAGCTCTAGGTTGCCAGAATAACAATTCTTAACCACTAGGATCCAGGCAAAATGTGGAGCTAAATGGAGTACCAGGGCTAGGTGATGAGCGTGGGGTGGAGCCAGGGTGGTAGCCAGGAATAAATTTGTGGTGGCCAAAGGGTAGGGAAAGTCAGCTACCTTGGGTTGATGTTTTGGGACTATATCTTTGTATATGGGCGTGAGTGAGTGTGTGCGTGTGTGTGTGTGTGTGTGTACGTGTGATTTGGGGTAGGTGGGTAGAGTGAAATATGTAGCAGCTGGGACTCTCAAAGAGGTGGGAACTATTTAAAGACATCTTCAGTTTAAAGCAGCATCTAAGCAAGCATCTTGGGGCTGCAGATGTGAGGATCAAAGTTCATTATGTTTTGGGAAGGTGATGGACAAGAGTTAATTAGAGCTGATGCTCCACTGAGCAGGCTGGGGATACAGTTGAGATGCCCAGCCGAGAGGCACATGGAGTGCTGGTAATAATGCTGGGTGGGTGAATGGTTAGAGGGTGGATGCATGGAACTCCACAGACACAATGATACAAGCACTGGCGGCGGGGTGGGGGTCATTAGTGGGTGGGTGGGACATGGGGGGCCTCTGTGGACATGCTCACTGAGCTGCATGCGCTGAAGTTCAGGCCAGCTGAGAGCAGCACATGTCCTCTCCAGATCCTCATTTTTTTGGGTCTGGGGCTCCAGATACATTAGCAGACTTGGCTGGAGTGGATCAGGCACCAACCAGAGACCTTCCGGTAGGTCGGCTGACTGGGGAGAGGGATGGCATGGAGTGATATTCAATTTCATCATTAAATCACTGTGAAGATGTTCCTGTGTTTGTGACTCATTGGACTTTTTCTAAATTAATTATGTTAAATCAATGATGTTTGTAGCATTTAAAAATTATTTTCTCTTCATCTGGATCAGAATTTCCATGGTGATCTACAAGATATTGATTCCTGTTAGTTTATTTGGGACTGTTTGTACACATTCTCTCTTTCTATTATTCTGTTATTTCCTTCAGTACCCAAACCATCTGCACACACTCATGTGTGTGCACTACCCACAGTCACTCACACACTGCTGGGCACGCACAGGCCATTTGAGAAATTTAGTGTTTTCTTCGGAGAAATGATCAGCCTTTTTGAAGAACTGATTGTGAGTCCACCCTGAGACACATCTGGGGCCTCTTGACACTATCCTCATTGGGGGATTTTGATGCATGTTTGAAGCTACATCTGCAGCTCACCCCCTTTTAGTTTTTATTTGGAGATTGGGTCATGAATAGTTGCTAAGTTGTGAACCTTGTGCCTGACTTTCCAGAGTGCTGGGGTTACAGGCTTGTGCCGCTATGCCTGGTCATCTGTTTTTATTTTTAAAGATGTACCCGTGGCTTCTAGTTCTGCCTTGAAATTGGTGCAGTGAAGGCCACAGAGTGTCTTTAAATCTCATTTTAGGCCTCAGTTCTACGCTCCTTCTAAACCTTCCAGTCTGAGCTGCTGACATACGGCCAAACTGGTAATTTGCTTTCAACTCATTAGCCTGTTTTTGCTTACTCTGTGTTGGAGACTTTCCCAAGAGGCAGTGAGAGGCAGCCAGAGTGGCAACCTCTGGCCAAAACCCAGGAGAGTGTAAGCCTTGAATCAAGACAGGGCCCTGCTGGTCTTGCCATATGTATAGGCAGAGGAATGAATATTTGTTTTTTCCTTCTAGCTATTACTTACAAAGCCACACAAGCTACTTTAGGAGCTGTGGAGAACAGGAAGAAATTTTCCTTTATTTAAGTGAGGAGGAAGACAGACTTTTGCGTCTCTGTGTGTATCTGTCTAGATGTAGATATAAAGAAGAAATATTACTTGTATAGTGGAGAAAATTTGGAAAACATAGAAATGTTTTAAAAGAATAAAAATAACTTGACTTAATCGTCCGCAGAGAACTTCTGCTGATATTGTGGTTTGTGTCCTGTCTTACCAAGCACTCCGATCCCTATTGTTGGACACCGAGGCTGTTTCTGTCTTTCCTTTCCTTTCTTTCTTTCATCCCCTCTTTTTCCTTTTTTCTTTCCCTCTTTTCATTTTTCCTTCTCTTTTTTTATGATGACATGCAGTGCTGCATTCATCCAAGCCTCGTAGACAGAGTACTAAAAGTGGAATCCTGAGCCAGCCCGCCATGTCCATGTGAAATCTCACTAGACGACAGTGTTCCTCTGGCACTTTCACAGGCCGTGCAGAGCCTCCTGCACACCTCATCAGGCGGGATGTGATCACACTCGTTTCCCAAGGTCTAGACCTGCAGGTGGTGAACCTGTGACAGGCGGGCCACAGCAGGCACCCAGAGTCCTCTCTGTTGGCACATGAGCCAAGTCGCCCAGCAGCTGAGGGTCGGATAACAGTGGTGTTTTTCAACTAAAACCTCAAACCTTGGGTTTCATTGCAGTGTTGGCACTTTGTGATAAATCAGTGGGTTTTGGGTTGCAGTTTGGGTACTCAGTTTCTGAAAGGTTCTCCATTACAGGTCTAGAGGATGAACTGTTATCTGGTTGTTTAATCTACTTTGCCGGATGCAGTTTTTCTATTATTTCATGAAGTTTACATCTTCAGAATAGGCATTTGTGTTAACACAGACTCTGCACTCCTGGTTTCTGTTGCTATCTTTTTCCATTCCTTTGTCTGTCAAGCAGGTCAGCTGGGCCCAGGAAGGACCTGGCATAGCCAGAGAGAGGCAGAGGCCCACCTTTAGCCACATGCTTGGTCCATTCTTTTCAGGAACAGGGTGTGGGAAGGAACCTTTCTCATCAAGGCCTACCCTTCTCAGCTGTGTGGCATAATGGTCACTGCTTTCATAGTGGCTCATTACCACTAAGATCCCAGCAAAAAGTAGACCAGTAGTCTGGGACGAGTGATACGATGCTCTTGATGCCAGGCCGGACTATTCGCACGTCAGTGGAAAGGCAGAGGAGAGTCCCGGTGAGGGCACGAGGACCACAGAAGTTAATAATTCAGCAGATGAGCAAAGCACTTGATACACTGCCCATACGCAATAAGGACAGCTTCTGTGTGGGCTTTGGGGTGGATTCTGATTTTCTGGTGGCCCTCTGAGAACAGCTCTGGGGGCAGGATCTGATTGAGGGCTCTCCCCACGGACCACTGTGGAGTGGCCAGTTCACTTTTGATGTCTCTTTGCCTTTCATGCTGGTCCATTTCCTTCTTCTTGCTGTTGGCTCACGTCTTTCTCTGACCTTGGGCACTGTGACTGGCAGCCGTATCCAGGAGGTGTCTCATGACTGTTCTTTGAGTGGGGAAATAAGTAAAGCTTCCCCCAAAGAGCAAAGCTACTGGCTTCTCAGCTTTTGTCTCCTCAACGTGTGCACCAATACCTTCTGGTAGCAGGTAATCAGAATGAATTTTTTGTTGTGTTTTGAGTCAGGGTCTCACTATATAGCTCAAGCTGGTCTTGGATTCACTATGCAGACCAGGCTGGCCTCAAACTCATGGCAGTCCTCCTGCCTCAGCTTCCCAGGTACTGACTGGGATTATAGGACTTGGACCTATAGCCTGCCACACCTGTCTCAGAATGAGTTCTTATGTAGAGAAAATTATGTAGAATGAATTCTCCTATAGAATGATCTGAGACAGAAAAGAGTGAACTGGAGCTAGTATATGTCGGTTTACAGAACTCACGAGGTATGAAGATTTAATTTGTAAGAGTGGTAAAAGTATGCTCATTTAAGGAAAACAGAAAGCATATTTTGAAACATTTTAAAGACAAGGGTAAATGTTTAAAATAATGTTGCAGGAGATAGTAGGTAGTAATAGCATTAAATAAATAGAAAATAATACTGAAATAAATTAGCCCAAAATGTCTTGGATTAATGAAAACATAGATTTTTTTATATTCTTCCTTATATAATTTCTACAGACAGATATCTAATTTTCCAAAAGGAAACTATATTATCTTCTTTAAAGAAAAGTAGAGTAGTTACAGACTATAATAAACAGATATTAATAAAAAAAGGAAATGATATGTTATAGGGGATTGGTAAAAACTAAATTAAACTATGGTGGTCCATGTAACAAAGCTGAAATTACCATGATTCTCATAGTGTGAATATTCATTGTATGTTGTTAAGTGGAAAAAAGACAGGAAACAGATTGTCTGGTAAGTCCTATCTAGCAAATACAAATACATATTTTGCATTATATGAATTCCTGGAAGAATATAAATGAAAATATTATCATGGAGAATGAGACTATTGGTAATGCTTTTATTTATTTATTTTTGCTTAACTGTATTCCCTAATTTTCTGCAACAAATCAGGGATCACCTACGTATTAAATGAATACTTATCTGATTTAAAGTATGCAAAGAGTATTTTGGGCTAATACTGTCCTGTAAAAGATGGTGCCAAATTATATATTTTATAAGCAATGTTGCCACCTGGTGGACCACAGGCAGAACTCACTGTTTTCCATTTGACATAAGGAAATGAAGTCTAAATGCTGTGTGATGTTTGATAAATGCTAGACAATGTTAGTAACTTCACAAAAGTGTTCCATTAATTCACATAGGAAAGCAGTAGTCCGTTTATTGGCTGGGAACTTATTTGTTGGCACAGTCATTTAATTTTATTTAAAAGATTAAAATATTTTGGTTTTACTAAATGTATTTGCAGGTACACTTATCTGTAAAGAATTCTGAGTTATCTGTTTTACGCATTATTAGGGTTTTTATCCTAACATATTTTTTTCCAGCTTGACATAATGCATAACCTAAAGTTACAAAAGAATTGTGGAATGAATACTTCTAGCTGACAATGCAACAGTTGGTGTATTTTATAAATTAATTTAAACATGAACCAATGAAATCATTAGTTCTCTTGATATATACACATAAAGTGCTTCACAAAGCAAAATGATTGTAATTTATCTGTTCTTTTGGATAAACTACCCCTCTATATGTCACCACCATAGGATTCACTCATTAATTTCATTTAGCCCACTTACTGAATTGAACTTTTCTGACTTACTTTTCTTATTAGGTATGTAGCAATCTAGGTGTTTTGACAGTATCTCTGGAAAACCATTGTTAGTTCTGTTCACTCCATTCTCTCACACTCCCCAGGAAGCCCAGTGACTGGGTGTCTTACTTCAGATATTACAAAACAGGTGGCTTTGCAAGTCACAAAATTTGACTCTTCCAGTTTTTGAGGATCATGGTGTGGGCAGGGTCCGATCTGGTGTGTCCCAGGGTGTGGACCACAAGGGTCTTCTCAAAGTGTCTTCACAGGGTGGCGGGGCAGCGTTTTCCGGAGCCTGTTGTTAGGCACTGCTCACGGTCAGGAGGCATTTGTCTTCCTAACCTGCTCACGTCCTGCAGGCCTTGCATCCATCATCATCACGTGCAAGTTACAGCTTCGGCATTTGGGTTTAGAGGGATGTGATCTGGCCCGATTACTGTCCGGTGGTTGCCTTTGAGAATAACCCTGTCTTCCACTCTCCCACCACACGCAGGTGAGCTGATCAACCTTGCCATGTACTGTGAGAGGATAAGGAGGAAATTCTGGCCCGAGTGGCACCATGATGACGACAACACCATCTACGAATCTGAAGAGAGCAGCGAAGGCAGCAAAACCCACACCCCCCTGCTAGACTTCAGCTTTTACTCAAGGACAGAGACCTTTGAAGATGAAGGAGCAGAGAACAGTTTTTCCAGAACCCCAGACACAGACTTCACTGGACACTCGCTCTTTGATTCTGATGTGGACATGGATGACTACACAGACCACGAACAGTGCAAGTGACGCCCAGTCTCAGCGACCCTCCTCCTCGGAGCTGCCTGTCCCAGGGTTGTTCCGGTTCCAGGTAGAAATCCATCCGTCCTGGGAGGACACTGGGGCCTGGTCCACGAGCTAACTGGACTGTGGCCGCCTTATTCCTTTTTTGTACAAACAGAACATAGAACCATTCAGATGGCTCCATTTAAACAGCCCCCAACTCTAAAACAGTCAGCATGGTTCCCGAAACCCATTTTTGTTTCTCTGAAAACTGACATTGTGTGGTGAAGCAGCTGAGTGAGTGGGTTATCAGCTGACAGTGTTTATACTGATCCTCCGCAACCGAGGGATTGGTGATGAGCTAGATTCTTGGGCATCCTTCATCCTCCAGGATATGAAGTATGAGAGAAAGCAGAAAACATGTAGGATATAAATGTACTGTGGCAGTCGCTTGTACTTTCTGTGTGTATATTGTATGTTGAACATAAGTCAAATAAAATCCACAGATACTCAATGAACACCTACTGTGTGCAAAGCACTGTGCTAGGTGCTAATCAGTTTAAGTTTCAGTCTAAGCTTTGCCAGTGACTAGCTGTGATTTTGGGCAAGTCCCTTAACTATTGCGTGCCTCATTTTTCCCACCTGTAAAGTGGGGATGACAACACTCTCCACCTATCTACCTACCTCACAGGGATGTTGTGGGGATTCTTGTGGTAACATTCCTATGGCTCTTTCAGCCTCTCAGAAGTGTTGTGACATGAACACAACATTTACCCTTTATTGTGCTTCATTTGCGTGAAGATCTCAAGGCAAAGGAATTTGATATCCGGGCAACAATGCCCACGGTCACTTGCAGAAGTTGAGCAGATGATGCATACACAAGGTCACCGTTAGGAAATTGTCATCATTCCCCTTGGAGATTCTGTTTGAATCAGAATCATTGAAAGAACATTGGGAATAGTTTTACATATCACCCTCTCTTTAAGATGGTCTTCAATTCTACAGCGTTTTTACAGAAAAATTTCTTTGGTGGGCTGCACTCACACTGGATTGCTGTTCTTTGTGTGTCCTGAGTCAAGCTCAGGAATCTTGGGGAGAGAGCTGTAGAGATGAAAGGGGAAGTGATTGATTGATTTTTGTAAGGCAGAAGCTTGCCGACTTTTAATGTCGTTTTTGAAAACAAGCCTTGGAAAGATGTCCTGAAAAGGTGGGACAGGCCAAGGATCGTGGAACCTGTACCCAGACCCGTGCAGCGGTAGGCTGCGCAGTCTTATGGCATTCTCAGCGGCTGCCCAGTGGGAGCTGGGCAGTGCTCAGAATGACCACAGTGTTTCTTAAGGGTCATGGGCCTTCTCGTCCTCCCTGGATCGCTGTGGAGCACAGGAGCTGCTGTGGTTATCCGCATTTGAGCAGGCAGTGTCATCTCCAAAGGTAGTTTTTGTTGACTTAGGACATTTCCCAAGCAAATACGGGGTGAAGATCCCTGTGTGATGCGGGCTATGGCTTTGGGCCAGGAGAACAAGATTTACAACTGTAGAGAAATTATTTTGCTTCTGACAAAAGGATTATTTATTATTCAGTTAGAGGAATAGTCTTTCTTTCTTTTTCTTCTTTTTATTTAACTTTTTTAACAGGATCTCCCTGTGTAGACCAGGCTGGCCTTGAATGCTAATGATCCTTCTGCTTCAGCCTTCTGAGTGTTGGGATCACTGACATGTGTCACCAGGTCTGGCTTAGAGGCGTTTCTTAAGAGACAAAAGCTTCTGAGAAATTCATGTACTTTACTTGAAGAAAACAAAAGCTAACTTTTGAATATTGCTTGCATTACAATTTGGGAACAAATGCTGAAGTCAGAAATTCTTATTTCGCAGCAAACTTAGTTGATACTATTTTATTAAAACCATACCTATGCGAGGCGACTTTCTGATGCCTGATGTGAACAGGGTAGAGGACATAAGTGTGAGTAAGCCTGTCTTCAGCTTGGAGCATCATTTGGAGAACTGTTCACCTCCACTCTCTTTAGCAAGCCGTGTGAAGCAGTGTCAGCAGCCGTGTGGCCCTCGGCACAATATGAACGTGAGCAGAGTGGGCAGGGGGCCCACAGACCGTCTCTATCAGGACCCAGTTTCCCTTTTTCCACTCTTGACTGGAAACTTTGCGTACTCTATATTTGCTGTGTAGCGGTAACTGTGATGGATTTTCACTGTGAGGAGGATTGAGGATGAAGGTTGTATGTTTTTAATTGTGTATCACTTGGAGGGCAGTTACGCAGAGAGCCAGCGCTCCAAGTGACTTGTAGGATAATTAATTGCATTCAAGTACCTTCTTCGGGGATGTGAATGAATGTTTTGACCGAACACTCAGCATTTTGTAGGTACAAATTTGAATTGGAACCCTAAAGTCAACCCCAGTGTTGATTTCCCAACATGGGTTAAAGAAAAAAATGTCCAAACAAAATCGCCATGGTTCTGGTCTTTATGGGGAGGACTTTTCATATGCTTTGTTCTTAACCTCACGAAATTTGAGGTGTTTTCCTATTTGATGAACAGGTGCTGCTTACCAGACACAAAAACTAACAAGAAATTAGGAAATGTCTCAATTATTTGGCTTGCTTGTTCAAGCTCTGATTTCTTTTTTATTGAAGGTAATTTAAGGAAATATGATATTTAAATAACAGATGCTTTTGACTGACCAGAAGATTCATGGGTCACATGATTTTTAAAAACCTTTTATTATAGAAATAAGTCTTCCTGTCTACCTGCCACCCTCCTCCTCAGGGTTAGTGAGCAGCTGTTACGTGCTTTGCTGCCCATCAGAACAGAGAGGACAAGGAACATCTAAGCAGTGATAGATTGACTACCTGTCAGCCTTCACCGTTTGGCTGTTATATAATTGATTGTGAATAGTGACACTGCCAAGGCCAGGGGCTTCGGGAAACTTAGAATCAATGAGACTTGAACCACAACTGCAGTCCTCACATGAGCCCTCCTCAAGTGTGCAGAAATACCAGGCTGTGCTTTTATGAATGGGTAGGTTTCAAGGAAAGAAGCTGCTAAGTGTTGTAGGCTCGTGGGTCTTGCTTCATTTTCCTTGTGAGAAAGTATAGAATTGTAGATTTGTATACCAGTTCACTCTAGAAAGCCCCTTACAAGAACTGTTACTGGCTCAGTGTCGTATGTGTAAATATTGGAGGGGTGGGGCCCAAGGCTGAGGTCTTTCAAGTTGCCCTGGCGAGTTCATTATGCCTTGTGGGCTCGATTTCTTTATAAACTCGTTCCGTGGGCCTGAGTGTGCTAGGAATCCTCGTTCACTCTTGTCTGTCACATTTAGTCACGGTGGCCCAGGCCAAGTTTGGAAACGTGTTCAGTGTCTCTGTTTTCACACAGTACTGTGAGGCTCTGTGAATAGCCGCAAGGTGAATTTCCAAGTCACCAGGACTTCTTCTGGTTCTTATTTATCTTTTAAATGATCCATGCCCACCTGCTTACTTGCTGGGTTTCCCTGGGATGCACAGTAGATACAGAGGGGCAAAGGGATAACGGAGCAGAATGGCACTGATTTCAGGGCAGCCCCTTCTGCTGAGTCTCCTCTGGTACCTCTTTTTTATGCTTGATCACTTCACGTATCTACCCTGCCCACCACCACTGGAGTAATCTTTTTTTTTTAAGAGAAAGATCTCTGGCCTTGATGGGTCACCCCACTTTCTTGGATGAGGAATACTGGGTCCCTTAAGGCCTGATACTGTCACTTCTCTGTTCATTTGTCTCCCTGTTCCTCTGCTGAGTGCTCCAGCGCAGTGGGCGATCTGTTTGCCAGGGCCTGGCCGTGCCTCAGGGGCCCCCACCCCTGCGCCTCTGCTCTTGCTGCCCCTCTTTCTGAAATGCCCTGCCCTCCTCTCCACTGGCCCACATCAGACCCATCTCTTAAAGCCCAGCTTCATCAGTTCCACATGAAGAATTCTCAGCTCAGTAGCATCCCCTCCTCCTCTAAAAACAAAACATTCATCATTTCCTTCCCTAAAGGCTGTGTGGAAAAAAGTTTGCTTAGATAGTGGGCCACACAGGTACTTGTTTTTCATTTGTGTGTGTGCGTGTGTGCGTGTCAAAGACTCCACTGACAATCTAATGAAAATTCCATACCTTATTCCCAGGAAAATGCATATACGCAAATCTCTAAAATTTTACTTATAAATTCAGATTTAAAGACCTGAAATCGTTCAAGGATTCCTTAGGGGGTTCATGAGCCCTAGTTGAAGAGGTCTTATCCTAAAGAGACTCTTAAATATTACTGTTATTGATGTTTATTTTTTCTGTAACATCTTCAGGAAGGAGACAAATCGGTGTATGATATGCAAGCAACAAGTCCTTTCTACTTTACCCGCACTGAACATGTGTTAGGTGACAGACAAGGAGCTTAGCAGGAGCTGTCCTACACGGGATGAGAAAGTAACTTTGTTTTGACAGACTGGGAATTTTGAAAGTGATAGGGTTTTGTTGTTGGTATCATCATCTATCTTTTATTTGGAACTTTTTTATTTTTAAAAATTTTTTATGGGAAAAAGATAAAATAAAACTTTATAACAAAATAACAGGAATAACAATAGTTAATACACTGCATGTTGTTATCTTTAAAGTAGTTGCTCAGGGTGCAAAATATGGGCATGAAAATTTCTCCAATGGATATTAGCACAAAATTTCCCTTTTAATGGACTACGAGACACAAATAGTATAATTGATGTACGTTTTTTCCCTTTGCCCTTCCTTCCTTTCCCCTTTGACTCCTCCTAGTTCCTTTTGAACAATTTCTTCTCATTTCACAATATCTATTGTACATTTTAGAGCTGATTTATTCTTTCAATTTCTCATACCAGGGAGACAATACAGTGTTTACATTTGTAAGTCTGATTTATTTCACTTACAAGTATAGTCTCAAGTTGCATCCATTTACCTAGAAAAGTTTCAACTGTGTCCTTCTTTATGACCGAGTAGTACTCTATTGTATAAAACTGTCACACCTTTTTATCTATCCCTTGATTGATGGTCATCATCTATCTTTTAACTACCCAAGAATTTAATTTGTCAAAATGAGGTTGGGGCCAACTGAGCTGCCTTTCAGCCCTGAAACCCACCACTTCTGCATGGAAAGGCCAGTTAGTCTGGAGCTAAGATGGGAGAGAAGTGGCTGGATTTTTCTCATGGGAACAAGATCTCTGTAGTCAAGATTTTCCTGTATTCATTCATTCTTCCATAGAGCAGTTGTTGAGTATATTTTCAATAAAAGGATGGTGACTTTTATTGATAGGGAACAACTCAGGCAATGTCTTTTTTTTTAAACCCCAAGATGTTTAATTTGTGGACAAATGAAGGCACCTGCAATAATAAAAAAATAACTTATGGCTGTGATCCAGCTAGCACCAAACTCCTGATCATTTCAGTAGAGAAACATCATGTGGAGTAAAAGATTAATTACAGTACTCTGGACTTCTGTACACAAATAATTTCAGCAGTGATCTTGATGGACATCTTATATTTTAAAATCTCACTATTGTTCCCTATTACAGCTATAGGTATCTTGAAACATTCCATTAACTGTATTATATATGTATATATGTATACTTTTATAGAAAGTAAAATTACTAAATGATATTAATCCCTTTACCCTACAACATCAGGAAATATCTATTTTTATTTGTTTTTACTCTATGGCTCTCAAATAATTTTCATCTATTAGCAATATTTAAATTTTTTTCTTTAGTACTTTTCCCGAAAATTACCTCATGGCTTTTTAAACAAATAACAGTTAGCTTTTGAATTGCCATATTAGTTAGTGGTAGCTAAACTATTAACAGAGAGAATATCATATATATTCATAGGATGGCTAGAAAGGATGAATGCTCTATCTACTTAGTATCATCTTCCTTTTTAAAAAGCAATCTGTGGACTTTCTTCTTGAATAGCTGTTCGGAATAGAAGTGAGTATTCTTTTGAATTTTCTTCTACCCCCCTCCCCCAAAGCCCAAGAGATCAAGTTTGGCTCATTAACCTGACCAATGATTGTATTTTTATCTTTAACTGTATTTGATTTTTTTTTGCGCCAATAAGCCTAAAGACAGTGTTCAAATATCTGACAGATCTCTGTTTCAGTAGGGGTGACATAGTTTACTCTTCACAAAAATGATTTTACCTCCAGTAATAAGCTCATGGGATCAGATCGTGCTTATTGTAAAGATATGTTTTCCCCAGTTGTCCCCACGGCACAGAATGTCTGACAACACAAACACTGGCAGGGGTGACAGTTTCTGCAGAATGATGGCTGGATAAGTGAGACCCCGAGTCACTCCCTTAGGAGTGTTAGAATTTCACTGCGTAGGAGAAAAGGAGGAAACAGCAGTGATTAGCAGGCTTCCAGGCCTGCGGCATGCTGTGTTCGAGACATGCCAGGCATCTGAGCCGTTTCCTCTGAGGTGGCATCTTACTAATCAAAGGAGACATCTCTAAATCAAAAACAAATGCAGTCTGTGTTAGGAAATGATGACTTGTGGCTATAAAAATGGCCAGTACAGGAAACACTGAGGCATGTTTTTTACTTTAATTTTGATGCTTGTGCGCTGGATTGCCCGTCACAGCTAGGCAGGGGTATTTGCAGAGTATCTTAGAGGTGCTTGCTCTAACATGTTTACTTCTTTGATTTTGTAACTTCCTTCTAGTCTCTTAAAAGGGTTCATAGCCTTGCTTTTGCATCTTATAAATAAAAAGTATACAAAGTAATGTGTATTCGATTTCATTTGTTTATTCATTTATTTTGGTCTTTCTGAGACGGGGTCTTGCTATGCAGTTCAGACTGGCCTTGAGCTCACTTTGTGACTCAGCCTGGTCTTGAACTTGTACCAATCCTCCTGCCTCAGCCTCCTGAGTGCTGGGAACACAGACATGTGTATTTTATTTAGTGAAGTTTTTTTTTTTTTAAGTGTTTAGAGACATTCCAAATCATCCCTATGTAGGCAGTAGTCTGCAAACCTTTGTGCTTATTCACTGTATCGCCAAACCTTTCTGTGCATGTCTCTCAGTGTATTTATTTATGATATGCACATATGTATATATGTATACACTGTTGTATATGTATACACTGGTTTACTGATACAAGATATACATTAAAAAAGCCATAGCCAGCACAGAATTTTAAAAATAAATATTCTCTGATACTCAATGAAGTTTAAGGGATGGTGTAAGAGATACTTAATGGTGACTCCCAGAAGGCTGAAGTTGACGAGTGAGTCTGTACCATGTATGGCAAAGTGGATATAAAATAAACATGGATGCATGACTTCAGTTCAGGTGTTTATTTACTTAGTATAGGTATTTTTGGCTAGGGGAAGGGACGAGAGAACAATTAGAAGTAACTTCCGTGAGAGCTCTTTTTAATTCTGTTTTTGGGACCTCGTGATTTAGAATGCTTTTCAAGTACCTGAAAGATTTCACAATACATGGACTGGAATAAAACAAGACAGAAGGAGGAACCCAGCCATGCGAATGCAGAAGTGCTGGATGGAATTTGAGCACCAGTCTGGAAAGCATGTTTTGATAATACCTGGTAATCATCATTTCATGACTGTACGTCTGTGTTCTATTTGTTAATAGCCCTGTGTATCCATAAATGTGGGAGATACACAGACTTATCTTCAGATATCTGAGATAGCAAGGGCCAATGTTGGCATTATTTGAATCCAAATTTCAGCTGCGTGGAGGCTGATGGGGGACACCTGCCGGGAGACCTTTCCCTGGACTGCCTGACTTGCAAACACGATGAGTAGCGTCTTGTTGAACAAGGGCCTAATGTGGAAACAGCATTCCAGTGTTTATTTCTGGGCCTATGAATTACTTTAGCACAGTTACTGTTAGTCGTTTATAAAGCCATATATAAACTTGTACACTTGATTGTAAGATAGATTTACTAGATGCCTATGTTGACTACTGTATATAAATGTGGAACTCCTGTACATTTGGTCTTAATGCTGTATGTATTTGATGTGTAAATGATAACTAATGGATATGAAATAGCTTGCTGTGAATGTCTTTATTCCATTTTGCTTTCCTTTTGCACATTTGAATGTTTTAACTTTATACCCAGGAGGAAAATCTGAAATTTTTGCATCTGATATACTGTTAAGTGGAGGTCTCTTAGATGATTAGGAGAATGTTTGAGCTGTAAGGCTCTTGTATAATTAGAACAACGTAATGAATTTTTTAAGTGTATATCTTCCCGATAGAATTTCAAATGAGTGTTTTTTAAAGAAGAAGCAGGTCTCTGGAATGTGCTGTCCTGGCCCTCACATCCAGCGTGCCCCTCAGCACACTGAGGAGAGACAGCCTGGTAGAGAGCAGAAGAAGAGGAGGAGTCAGGGCTTGAGACTGCACCTAAGAGGTTTGCAGTGGTTCCAACCTAAGTGGGCCACTTTCTCCTTGTACAAATATTCTCTGTTCGTGTGCAGAGCTCTCCAATAAAGTAATTATGATTACTGTTTTAAAGACAAAGAAAGAGGCTGGGAAGTAAACTTGCACGGAGTAGTAGGGCTAGATGTGCACCAGTTATGTCTTGGGATCAGGGGAACACAGTGAAGTTTTGGAAATAAAAATGGTATTTTCAAGTGTTCCACACATCTGCATATGGCAGTGAACCTCAATGCATAGCTGGGGCTGTAGGCGTGCCAGGGTCTAGGAAACATGCAGGATACTTGAAATCTTAACTCAAAAATATTTGCTTCACAATTCCTTTACAGCAATAAGGTAGCATCCAAAATTCTACCCACTTTCCATGTTATGAGAATATTTATTAAATATAAAATGAGTGGGCCCTTAACCACATCTGGAGATAATGGTTTGGTCAGATCTCTTTTTTTTGACCTATAAATCTGCCATTCAGCTCTGCTTATTAACATGGATCCTAATCAAAAATATTTGGGAACAAGTGTACAGTACCTTCAACATAGTTATCTCCAGACTTTCCTGGAGCTTCATGGCTGTTCTGGTTTTTGAGCTTGGTGTCCGGCTTATTAAGGGGTTTCCTCACCCAAAGGCATTGTTGGCCTTTCCAGTGTGCTGTGCCATCAGAATTGTGATGAATGCTTTGCTGTTATTTGAACTGAATGTTCCATAACTCAGTTTTCACATCTTTGTCGTCCCTTCCTGAGAGGTAGAAGAGGTGGCTTATTTTCTTGCTGAAGGGCTGCCTATTTTGTTTGTAGATAGTGCCACTGTTGGCACCCATTAAGCACTTCCCAGCTGGGCTGGCTCCTCTTAGCAAGACTTTTATCTTAAAAACTGCCAAGGTTAAACTGGCTTATCTTTGGGATGAAAGGGAACTTTAGCAAACAAAGAGGAAAGTGAAGCAGTTTCTTCCTCAGGAATTACTGTGTTATAGTTCTGTGTGTCTACAAGGTCCCTGGTCTGTTTCAGTGCCAGAGTTCTTGCTTTAAAAACTTGGAAGAATTGTCTGCAGCAGAGGGCTGTTAGGCTCTGAGGCTGAGGGTTACTTTCCGGGGGTGTGTGTGACCTTGGCCAGCCCCTGGTAGCTCATACTGAGCACCGTTTCCTCTAGATCTGATTAAAACAAACATCTGAGGCAGCCTGGAAAGGTGGACAGTCAGAGAATGTCAGTCATGTAGGAGGCCTTCTGCATCTTTCTCTGCCCTTTCTGGCCTCTCCCCAGCTTTAGCTGAAGTCACAGGAAGGTGGCAGAAATCCTCTGGGCTGCTGAGCGATGCAAAGTCGTCAAGGTCTGCTGTGAGGAGGGTTTTTGAGCAGGGGAGCAGCACAATGAGAAAGACTGTATTTGAGTGTGATTTACTGACGTGCAGTCTGGATGCAGGACTGGTCAGAAAGTAAGCTAGGCAGAACAACTGGATCTGGTTTTGGTGGCTCTGAGTGAGCCTGGAGGCCTGAAATGGGGTGGAGGGGTGGGGCGGGGAGGGGAAGAGAGCCCTCCACTGTGCGTGAGGGGCGCTGGGCAGAGAGGTGATGAGGTGATATAAAATTTCTCTCCCATAATGCTGTTGTCAGATGTGACCACGTGGAGGAGGATGCCGGGGACATAGCTCGGTGGCACAGCACCTGTCTGGCAAGTGCGAGGTCCTCAGTTCAATTCCAAGTACTCATACCCCCAAAAAATATGGAGGTGGAGAATGGGCTTGAGAGGAAAGAAATTTGTTTCTGGCTGCTTTGAATTTGAGGATCCACTAGGAGTTGTTGGACTTGAATTTGAGAAGGGAGTGAAAGAGAAACCACAGCCCTCAAGGGATAATGGCAACAATCGGTCAGTCTGTAGAGAGAATGATAGTTATTAATAATTTGTATTTATGCAATATTTGTCTTTAAGGTAATGTCAGAATTTATGATTCCTTGGCATGTCAGTAGTATTATGAATACTCATTTGATGCAGGTCACAGTATTGGAAATGGGAGTTTGTTGGCCCAAAGAAGTAATTATAACTAATACTTACATGTCACTGACTGTGTATCAAGTACAGTAACCTACTATATAAACTCTTTTGTTTTTCCCAGAAATCCTATGAGACAGGTGCTGTCACTGTCACTATCATCACCGTCATCACCATCGCACGCCCATCACCTTCACGGTATTCGTTTCTTTGGCAATGGGTTTGTGATGGCTAATGATGGCTTGTCATATCTATTGACTAAGCTATGGGATGCCCAGGTTAAACGTTGTTTCTGCATGTGTCCTATGCTATAATTCTAGGTGTGTTTCTGGGTATGATTAGCACTATAGGAACTCATATATTCTAGGAATGACTGCACTGATACAAGAGTTGAAGGGCAGTTTAGCAACACCTCAATAAGCTGAAGACATGCACATGTTTTATATTTCTGGCTACATAGCCTGGAGAAATTTCCTTGCATGGTCACAAAGCATTCTTTGAATCAGAAGAATCAACTGCCTTCCTGTATGTGGTTGGCCATCATTCTGTATACTGAATACGTCAAACATGGATTCATATAGTCATGTTTTTTAACTCCTGCCTCACTGCTTGAGCTGGAACATCTCATGTCATCTGCTTTTGCTCTGGGATTGAAAGATTTATATCATCAACATCCCTGGTTCCTAGGGTCTGGATTTAGACTGAGTCACACCACTGGCATCTTGGATCTCCAGGGGCAAATGGCAGATTATTGACCAATGCAGCCTCCATAATTTCCCTTGGTGAAGTTTCTGTGGAGAACCCTAATACGGTGGTGGACATAAAGATAAAATGAACACTGAGATCCTTCCTTCAGTAGAAGGCAAAGGAACAAACACACAAGATTCTGATTAAAGACGTGCTGATAACAAGATGGCCTGAACCCACAGTGGTAAGAGTCCCTCCAGCCTGGAGACACGGGAAGCCTACTGAAGGGTCCTGATAGCTTCTGTGCCTCTCTCTATTGTTCTTCTGACCTTATAGCATTGCTGGTTAAGATATTTTTCCAACTCATAACACTTCTAAATATGTTTTCTCTCTAGCAAAAAAAAAAAGAAGAAACACCTGTCTTTTCTTGAAAAGACTTTCAGAAGCCTGAATGTCTAACATACGGTTACCCCTGGACTCCGTAGCCTGAGTTCTAATTAATAAGTGTAAGATTATGCTGTACCCTCACTGTCACTTTCTCCTCTCTTGGAAAAGATACCTGACATTGGCAACTTAAAGGAGGAAAGATTGATTTTGACTCACAGTTTCAGCTTATGGTCTGTTGGCTCCAAAGTAGAAATGGCACGGTGTTAAAAGTGTGATGAAGAAAAACTGTTCGCCACATTGTAGCCGGGAAGAAGGAGAAGGGAGGCGTTGGGGGAGAGAACACACCCTTCCAGGTGGCTCCCCAGGACCTGTCTCTGAGAAGGCTCTGCCTCCTGGCAGCAAGCACCAATGAGTGCATTGCCCCCATAACCCAATCACCTTTCCAACACATGAGGCTTTTGGGGGACCATTTTATTTATTTTGTTTTGTTTTCTGAGACAGGGTCTTGCTATGTAGTTCAGGCTGCCCCAGATTCATTAGATAGCCCAGGCTGGCCTCACCCTCATGGTGATCCTCCTGCCTCAGCTTGGAATTAGAGGTGCATGCCACCACGGATGGCTGGGGGGACATTTCAGATCCGAGCCATAATACTCATCCTTCTAAGACAACAAAGGACTCTCTCTCTACCACTGGCATCTTACACAGGTAATTAGCATTGAAGTCAGGAGGAAGCATGAGGTGTCTCAGAATGGCTAAAGTCGGTGTAGAGTGTGCCTGTGGCCCGGGAGGCCCTGGCTTTGCTCAGCGGCGTGATGCTAGCTGCTTTGAGGCAGGCGGTGTGCCCTGACTGTGCACATGCACATGTGTCTTAGCATCTTCTGAAAGATTCTCTCTCTCTTCACAAGCAAGTTGCCTAAATTACTGTGCTGCAGCTCTCGCCAGTGAGTGGCACACTGGGAAACTACTCAGACAGTCTCTAAGGATGAGACACTGGGAACTCCACCCAGAATACTTGTGGTTGTGTCTACTCAAACATTTGTTTTACTCTTGTGGATAGGTATTTATTCTCTGGGCAGAACTCGTTTGCTAGCTGTAAGATTTCTGATTTCTAGTGTTGCATAACCTTAATGTTTTAAAGCAGACAGCAGCTGGAGGTCCAAAAAGGACAGCACAGTCCGCTTCTCCCCACAGCAGGATACATGCAGCAAATACTCAATAAAGTTTTGTTATAGGAAAAGACAAATTCTCAGGTACAAGACCAATCAAATTGCAAAGAAATATCCAAAGTTTGAAGTTTGATACAGCGTGCTGTGCAAAAGCCAGTAAATTGCTCATAGAACAAACCACAAGTGACTGAAATACGGGGTAGTAATTTCTGTGGACTCAAGTGGTTTATGCAGTCCTCAGCACCCCTCGATGGAATTATTGCCCCATAATTCAAACAGCGCCTGTTTCCCTGACACACCTACTGTGGATTTGAATTCCAAATCCTGCCCGTGTGCTTTTCACCACACTTCCACTGCTAATGCTGCCCAATAAATTATTTCAT